TAAATTTTAACTTATGAATAGAATAAATTTATTATTTTTTCTCCCTCTTAAAAATAAGTTAAAAGAAAATTATCCACACAAATCATATGCCAAATTTTCCGATAAATACCTCCTTGACCATAAAATTGCAACTTTTTACCATGCAAACTTAGATTTAAAATTTCCTTTTAATTTTTTTTAATCACTATTGTTCCTTACTGATTCATTTTAAATTTACTTGCCTTTCAAATTTATTATTAATCACATTATGTAACTCATTAAGTTAAGATTAGACACTTTATAATATACTTAATAAAGTTATTAAATAATATTTTAAAAATACTGCATTTATTAGATTATCCTTCACTAATTATTTAAAAAGTCTGAATAAAAATATTAAAATAATAAAATAAAATAGGTATTAATAATTTTATTTGAATACAAATTAAAGCTTATAAAATAATAAATATTTGAAAGAGCAGTTATCATTATATATTCATTTCTATTAGAATTTTAAAAGGGATTTAACATTATTATTGGTTTTAATTATAAAAATAAGTATATAAGAAATATTTAATCCAAATATTGATATTTAATTTAAATCTTAAAATAATAAATTTATGAATATTTTATACTTGTATATTATTCAATTTCACAATTTTTATAAATATGAGATTTCAATTAATTCTAACAGTTTCTTTATACTTGGAAGACTTTGTCTCGAATTTTATACACAATTCCCTTTGTGATGGCAAGCACCATGACTTCAGACAAGATCCGAATAAGATGGAATATTTAATATCATGAGAGAAATTTCATTTTTTTTACAGTAGAGTATACATTTTCTAATATACACTTAAAATTATTAATCGAAATTTATTAAAAATATAATATAATATTTGATAGATCCCACTTTTAAGGTAAGAAAAGGCATATAATAAAAAATCAATACATGTATAAATTATTTAAAGATTAGAAAATGGTACAAGATAAAATGGTTTTTCTACCTCGATGAACTGAGACAGAAACTCGACATCAGATAAGAACAACAATGTTGTCGCATAAGACTGTTGCACACTGAGATTTCATGAAGAAGATGACGACATTAAATACTTTATTAAAGTTTCGGTCAGCATAACCGGGTATTAATATAATACTATTGTATTCTCAGATTTCTTCATGAACGAAAGAATGGAATAGAACATAAAAGGAAAGTAGTGAAACGACAAGAGAAAATGATGGAAACTATTTTTAACATTGTTTATTCTTGTCTTCTTTTTTTTTTTTTTTTTTTTTTTTTTTTTCAACTAAGCGTCTTTAGCATGAAGCTTTCGCTTTGAAATTCCGTTTCTAATTTAATTACTTGATGTTGTTAAACATAAGACAGAAACCACCGATCTAAAAACGTGTAATGTTCACTTAATTTTTTTTATCAATTATACTCCTATTTTCACTTAAATTTTAATTAATTTATGTATACATTTTTTGCAATTTAGGAATAAAAAATTCATATTATCTTATTATATTCAAGAAATCATATTATAGCTTTACATAATTCTTTAAAAAAAAGGAATATCATGGTAAAATATTTTTTTTATAATAATTTTTTTCTCCTAAATCAAACCGATTTTTCCAAACTTTCATTATTATATTTTTTGTAATTACAAAAAGTTTTCTGTAATTCACTGTAAAAGAAGAATCTCACAATAAGTGTAAATAGGTATTAGGGTGAGTAAGATTATTAAGAAAAATTATATTGAGAATGAATTCAATGCTAACAACCCTAATTATACATTTAAAATTTAAGTTAATGAATGTAATCCATTCAATGTGCTTACTCTTCAATATTTTTTTCCCCCTCTGATCTCTCCCCACACACCCTCTTTCATTTTTTATTTTTTATGTTTTGGAAATAATAGATCTCTCATGCATTTATTCCACCTTTATGCTACAGTATATACTGTTATTTATAGGACTTAGAAAGTCAATGTCTTTTTTTTAGTTCTGATTATAAAATTTATTTCTCTTTCTTCCATGACCTCTGCTCAACAAATAAAGGTTGGAAATTAAAAAAAAAAAAAAAAACTTGGAGACGTTGGAGCTTACAAACTTTTTAATATAATGCACTAGCTTGGTGACGAAATTAAGGGAATATGATATATATTTAGTAATAATGGAATGTTAATCGTCATTAAATTTGATGGAGCGAAAGTTATCATATATATATATATATATATATATATATATATATATATATATATATAACATAATCCTAGATTTGTTGATATTTTTTAATGTTAATTAAGTTTTTTATCTTTAATCCTCCGTTGTTGAGAAGTCTAATCATATGGTAAGTTATTCAACAGCATTTAATCATTATTCGTTGAATTTAAATGTAATAAATTAGAGTTTGTTTTATTATTATTTTTAAATATTATTCTTTTTTTTTCATTTTTTAACATCAAAATAAAACATCAAAAACAATTAAATAATTAATAATAAATAAAAATAATAATTTACTTAAAGAAAAATATTACAGAATATTTTTTTTAACTTCTTGTTTTTTTTTCTAATATTCCATGTTTTCAACTTGATTAGAAGAAAAAACAATTTAAGAATACAAAATTATAATTTTTATGTTATAAAGTTGAAATAAAAAAGAGATAAAAATAATATAAAATAAATTGAACTAAGAGAAGCGGAAATATATGGGAGAAAATTATAAAAGTGTGAAGGTAAAAGGATCAGAAAGGAAATAATGTAAAAATAAAAATTGTATTAAGGAATAAATATGACATGTATTATAATAAATTTTTTTATGAGATAAGAATATAATAAAAAATGAAAAATTATATGTTAATTAAATTTCATTTCATTTTAAAAAATTAAGTACTAGAAATATATATATATATATATATATATATATATATATATATATATATATATATATATATATATATAATTGAATTTCGGGGGAGGGAGGCATGCTATAATGACTCTGTAAGGAATTACTGAATACTAAATTTTTTATCTGTACTCTTTTATGTTATTATGTTGTGTTTAATAAAGAATAACGAAAAGAAATAAAAAGTTAAAGAGAAATAAAAAACATATATATAAGAAATAGAAAGAAAAATGCAGATTGTTTAGTCTATACTCTTTTCTTTTCTTTTTTAACATTTTTTATAATTCCATTCTTCTAAATCACACTTCTAAAACACCATAGAATAATTCTGTGTATTTTATTGACAAACTATTTAAAAATAAAAAATAAAAACCATAAATGGCATCATATATAATACTAGTTTTCTGGTACAACAATAGTTAGAAAATAAGCTTTTAGATTATTATTATGGTATATGGCAGACGGAATTATTGACATTGTATAAGTAATCAATGACGTGTAGTAGTAGTTTTTGTTATTAGATGAATGTATTTTTAAAATAAAGAAAATCAATGTTTTTTTTTATTAATAATAATTTCATCAAAGAAGTTATACATTTTGATTTACCACTAATTAATCAACGATTTTGATTTATTTTGAATTTTATTTAACAAATTTAAAAGGATCGAGATATAAATTTATATCATGGCTTTAAATCTCTTATTCTAATTAATATTTTTTGTTCATAAAACTCAAATCTATTAATATATATATATATATATATATATATATATATATATAATAGTGATTAAGGTTTTATCTGTAATTATATATACAGTAATTTGTGTTATTGTATTTTAAATAACACAACTAAACTTGTCTAATAATACTTTTTTAAAATTAATTTGTTAAGTAACATGTGGCTATGGGATGGATTGGATTGTTGCAAAAAGAATGGACCCATCCTATTATTATTTTGGAGATATTTTTTATTTAAAATTAAAAGTATTTTAATTTTATGTTTTTTATAATAATATTATTAAGATATATTATCATATATGAAATATTATTTATTTAAAATTTAATCTGACAAATGAATATAAATTATCTTTCATCTTTAACTTAAAAAAAGTATGAAACTTATCACCGGAATCATATTTCTTGAATTTGAATCTAATCATCATTCCAATCCAAATATCATTTAGGCTCTTTCTAGAGGTCTCTTTTTCTTTTATTAGAAAACTGAAACTTCAGATGAAAAACAATAAACATGTTATTTTTAGTAAATTACTTTAACACCTTTAAGGTTTTCCAAGGTACACAAATCATCCCATTTGTTTTTTTACTGCTACACTAATTCTTTTTAATGGTTTAAAATATTATAGTAATATCGCTTAAAATTTATATTACTTTTTTAATCATTTAAAAAACATTACACTGTATTTCTTTTTAAAGAATATTAGTAAGAGTTTGTGTAATTTCACTATGATTGATAATGTCTTTGTAATTTACTTAATTTAAAAAAAAAATCATTTTTTCTTTCTTTTTTTAATTGGGATTAAAAAGACACGAAACGAAGACAAGTTAGTTTTATTTTAGAAAAAATGAATTAATTTCATATTATTTAAAAATTAAAATAAAAGATAATTTATATATTTTCTTCTATTTCAAATTTGTTAACAACAAAGTTATAATTAATTAGAAAAACAAATATAATAAGAGACCTGACAATATTGTAATATCTTACTGACACACAAATTTCTAATTCTAAGCATACATGTGTACAAAAGTTATCTAGCAAATATTATATAAATATCTAATTATAATCATTAACCTTTGTTTTGTGTTAGAAAAAACAGTATCATTCTCTTAATTTTGTTGAGTGACATGTTCTGGCCCCACATGTAAAACTATTCATTCAAGAAGTCGTCGTCACGAGCATGCATGGTATCATAGTATATAAAATAAGTAGGTCATCGTAATTTGTGTCCTTAGTTTGAGAAATAGTTCGTTAAGATAAGTTAATATGAACACTTATCGTGTTTTACAAGAAATCTACCCAATAATCTCTATAAATAGCGGTTCGAAATGAGATCTGAATACAAATTAACTCGGTATTAATTCAAGAACACTCGACATGGGTTCCATGAGTGCAGTAGTAGTGGCAGTGTTGTGTGCATTTGCTATGCATGCAGGGTTGTTAGTCACTACTGCTCAGCTAGATCCCACGTTCTACGATGACACATGTCCAGACCTATATGATACTGTGTTTGATGTTATTTCAAATGCTTCCCTCACCGATCCCCGAATCGGTGCCAGTCTACTCAGGCTTCATTTTCATGATTGCTTTGTTCAAGTACGTAAAATTCTCTGCATGAATATGTATCATGTTTCTCACTTTATATACTAAACCTGTGCATATTAGTACTTACTAGCTATATTTTCTTCTCACAACTTTACGCTTTTTGTTTGTTTTCGAAAGAGATCAGAGAAAAAAAAAAAAAGCTAAAAAGGAATAACAATGAAAGAAAAGTTAAAAAATTTTCAGTGTGACAGAAACCATGGATTATTACATGTCTTGTTATAACCACAACAAGATATAGATGGATGCAAGACTTCTTAGCCAAGATAAAATTAAATTGTTCTTCTCAACATGATTTGGATCCTCTCAAAGGAAGAGAAAGAAAAGAGTAATGGAGTCCATTTTTTTTCTAATCCTAAAACCTAACAAACAAACGTTGACCTACATAGCTGTCTATGTAATGGACGCTGTCTCGGTAGTATATATAGCAGATTAGTGTTATTTTATAATATAACCTTTCTATGATTAGCTTATTTCAGATACTAAAATAATAATGGGAGTGTATAAGAATCTCGTTGAATACAATTAAAGGCTATAGTTTGGTGACAAATTAAGTGTGAAAGAAGTTGTTATTTTTGTGACAGGGTTGTGATGCATCAGTTTTGCTGAACAGCACTGATACCATAGACAGCGAGCAAGGTGCAATTGGAAATATCAACTCAATAAGGGGCTTGGACGTAGTCAATGACATCAAGACAGCGGTGGAAGATAGCTGTCCAGGGACAGTTTCTTGTGCCGATATTCTTGCTATTGCAGCTGAAGTAGGTTCTGTTCTGGTAAGCCCTAATTCCCAACCATTTACAATACACAGTTTCTTTTAGATTTAGATCCCGCTGGTGGTAAAATTAAAAGGAAAAAAAAGGTCCGATAGGTTAAGAATTTCTTGCATTTGGATTCGTGTTTATAATTTCTATTTTGTAAAATAATAAAACATAAAACTTATTCGAACCTAAAACTTTTTAAATTGGAGCTAGTAATGCACAAAGGTTAAATAGTTCGAAGATATCAATTATCAACAAACATTCATGGAATGAATCAATCATGGTGTTTGGTTAAAAATACTCTCACTCTGATTAGTTTAAAGAAAAAAGAGAAAGAACACAACAAACCATCAGATCGATTGACCATTCACATAAAACTCTTTAGTTTTACATTTACAAGACCAAGATGCGTACTTAATTAGATCAAACACACTTATTATTTACATCCTAACTTTTAAAGATAATATTTCTATTTTTTTCAAAAGAAACTATTTAATGATTTAAAAAACATAAAAAAAAACTAAACAGATGAACCCTTATTCCACTTGGTCAGTTGATTGCAAGGGATATTTAATACCCCAAAAACTTAGTTGAAGTGGCTAGGCAAACCTGGCTACAAATAATCTGCCCAAAATATACACTTCGAAAGAGAAAAAAAAAAAAAACTCTTACATAACTTTTCTTTTTATTATCAACCCTTGAGTGTGAAATTGGTTAATTCCTTGCCGTTCAGAGCGATTAAGTTATTAGGCACTCTTCATAACTAACATCTCCAAAATTCGAGTATTTTATTTGCAAAGATAATTCATATCTTCAAGTTCAACTGTAGTATAGTTCCGGAAAAATGATTTTAATAATACCCAAATGTATACTATTGCAGTATTAAGATTTAAAATAGTTCATTTTTGAAGTGTATAATGTAGTTACATGTGCGACGTGTTTATTCCATACCCTTTTTTTTCTTGGAAAATAATAATGAACCCAAGGAAAAGAGTAAGCATAGTTTCGTAAGGTTTAGACATCATGTTAAATGATTAATTACAACCCATACACACAGTATTTGTGCGAAATAAAAAATTGTGATAGCTGTGAAGCTCAATTTAAAAGTGGTATGTATTTAATTAATTTATTTATTTACAGGGAGGTGGTCCATCATGGGATGTTCTATTAGGAAGAAGGGATAGCTTAAATGCAAACCTTACCCTTGCAAATCAAAGTCTTCCATCACCCTTCTTCACACTGGATCTGCTCAAAGCTTCCTTTGCAGCTCAAGGTCTCAACACAACTGATTTAGTTACTCTCTCAGGTACATGAAATAAAATTCATATTTGCCAGCAACAACTACTTGATAAATATCTGGGTTAGATCATTTTTCCATAAGCAAACCATTAATTAACTATACACATGCAGGTGCTCATACGTTTGGAAGAGCTCGATGCAGTGTATTCAATAACCGATTAAGCAACTTCAACAACACTGGCAATCCTGACCCAACTCTGAATACAACTTACTTGGCAATATTGAGTGGGATATGTCCTCAAAATGCAACTGTTGTTAACATCACCAATTTGGACCTCACCACACCTGATCAATTCGATAACAACTACTACTCCAATCTTCAGCAACTCAATGGCTTGCTTCAGAGCGACCAGGAATTGTTCTCCACTCCTGGTGCTGATACGGTTGACCTTGTCAATAGTTTCAGCAGCGACCAAAGTGTTTTCTTTGACAATTTTATAGCGTCAATTATAAAAATGGGAAATATTGGAGTGCTTACAGGGACTGACGGAGAAATTCGCACGCAATGTAATTTTGTCAACTCAGAAAATTCTGGATTATTATTAGCTGGTGTGGCCTCCAATGATTCTAAAGAAAAACTTGTTGCTCAATCTAAGTAAGTTAGTATGTGTATAAAGGAAAAATAAGAGGTTCTAAACCTCTGTGCTGTGTTGAAATTAATCAAATAAGTGTGCATATGGCAACGTGATTTTGCCCTGTATCTCTTGGCTTGATATGTATTTACTTACATTCATCAATCTCATTATTGCACTTTTCTCTCCTCCTCTCTCTCTTTCTTACACTTGAGTACTTTTTCACATGCCACTTACAAAAGTAAACTGAATCATATATAAATTTAGTTTTTACAACATTTCATGAGTTCTTATATAGTTTTCTACTTTGCATTTAAATAAGCATCATGATGTACGCATATTTCTTGTTGTAAAATTCTCGTTGCCCATTAAAATAAATATCAATGGATAATCTTATTTTTAAAAGAATAATCATTCTACAACTTGATTTTTATTAATTTAATAATAACTTATTATTATTATATTAATAAAATCATGGTTGTTTATTAAAAATAGGGTTGTCAATATCAACATTCTTAACAAAAGGGACTGTATGTACTTCATACGGTGTTTTAAAAAGACCCTCTATACCTGCATATATATCTTTTGTTCTCGAATAATTATTTCATAAATATGATCTGTTTTCCCCTTTGGTATATTTTCTTTCTTTCTTTTGAAGGCGCGAAAATTGTTATCTCTTATGAGTTTTATTTAAAGGTTTTTTATGTGAGAAGGGTTGTGAAGTTAAAAAAAAAAAGCCTAGGTTGTTAGGGATAAAATGTGTTGGAATAAGAATGAGAGAGAGTTAAATACATAAATGGTTTTGATACAATTACTCTTGATAAAAAAAATTTGATATAAATTTATAACTAGTGACTATTAGTTTGACTTATTAAGAAATATGATAATTCTAATAGATTAAAACATAAAACATGATCTCAACCCAACACAACACATCAAGAAACACATAAAAATGAATTGGATTATATTCTTAAATAAATATATAATGAAGGGAATATAAAAAATAGCAAACTTTTAAAAAAGAATGAAATGTTGTAATATATACGGTGGTTCAGTTTTACTTTTGTACGCAAGTATTTTAGGGAAAAAAAGTGTAGAATTTATACTACTCAAATAAGAGAGAGATGGAATAATGAGATTTAAAGTAAATACATAATATGAGAAGAGGTGCATGGCAAAATCAAATTTAAGATTTCCGGTTATCAATCACTTCCTACAACATAACTATATCTAGAATTTCTTGCAAAGAAGCACACAAAAATAAATTATAATTTGTTTTCAATTTTTTTAAATAAAGCTAGAAAAACAAATTAGAAGAAAAAAATTTAATTTTTAATTTTTTTGAATTTTTTTATATATAAAGCTAGACAAATAAAATTAGAGATTTTTTTTTTAATTTTTTTCAAAAGAGTTTTTTATTATTTTCTTTTAACTAAAATTAGAAAAAGAAAATTAGAAAAAATTGATATTAGGCAATATTACATAACACAATTGTATCCCCACAACGACACCATTTGATAACGAGTATTTTGGTTGCAGAAAATATTGATCAAAAAGTTGTTAAACTAATGTAGTATAGTTAATTCAGTATCGAATATCATAAGGACACAATTATATAAGAACATACTCATTATCCCATATCATTCTCTCTAAAACAAGTAAATAGGGGATCAATGAAAGAGTGCAAAAGAAATAAGTTGATGCACAATAGTTAAAATTAAAATCAAATTGCTATAGAATATTAAAGATAATTAAAATTAAACAGAAACAGAATTTAAATAACTGAAATTTATAAAATTAAATAAAGTGTTTTTAATTAAAAGTGCAGGAATAAACAAAATTGTTTTAAAATAAAATAGTGAAGTAATTAAATTTGAAATTTCTGAAAGCGATAACTCTAAAACTAAATTATGAATTGGAATTGAAAACAAGATGAATTGAAAATGAAAATTATGCAATACTTGGAATAAAAATTCTAAACAATTAAATAACATAAATTAAAACAGAGCACTTGAATAAATAAAATAACTAGAGCAAGATAACCTGAAAAATTTAATAGAAATTGCAAAATTAAATAAAAGAGAACAAATTAGAAATGTAGCAATAGTAGATGAACTCGTCTAACTAAAAACTAAACTATGAACTGAGCATAAGAAAAGAAACTGGGAACGAAACAAAACAACAATTCTCACCACATGCCAAGAGATTATGATTGTAGGCTGTCATAATACCTCCATTTATATGGGTTTAAATAAGATAAATTAAGCCTAAAATTAATTACAATAAAAATCAAATATTCCTCAAATAAATTATTGCAAAATCTAATTCCCTGTGAAGAGAAATTATTGGGACTGTTTTGAAGAAAATAGTCTGCTTCTTTCCTATTTTGAGTGATCCAACACTAATTTGTATTTAATTCTTGTTGGTCTTTACTTCAGTTAAATTAGATTCTCACACCAGTTAATTTGCTTGATTCAAAATTTTTATTTGTAATATTCTGCAAGTGGGCTGCAAAAGCAACCTTGAGCTTTCAAGAAGAGTGAAGCTTGACGACATCAATTTGGACATTTCTTTATATCAATTTGATTCATCTCAAATTACTTCTCCTACTAAAGAAGAAAAAGAAATATGTAATGATATATGCATGTATATTATTTATTATGCTAAAATTATGTAATGTATATTATTTATTATGCTAAAATTATGTAAAATACAACAAATTGAGAAAAATTGAATTATACTATGTTTTTAATGAAACATGTTAAATATATTATTTATAAATAAAATAACTAACTTATAAAATGTTCTTAGATTAAGAAATAAAGAGGAAAATTACATCAATAGGTTAAATCTTAATTAGGCCAGTTAATTATCATAAATAATAACCAACTCTTTAAGTGTAAATGATTAGGCATCAGGACTTACCAGAACAGAACCTACTTCAGCTGCAATAGCAAGAATATCAGCGCAAGAAACTGTCTTTGGACAATTATTGAATTGTTATTTGAAACTGCATCTTGTTCGCTATCTATGGTAACAGTGTTGTTCAGCCAAACGGATCCATCGCAACCCTGTCAATTTAATAACTTGGTTTCTCACTTTTTATACTAACCTTAAATATCGCCATTAGCTTTGAGGTTTTCTCTTTTTTGACAGAATATCTATATCATCTTTCATTCGTATATAGATAGCTTCTTCTTTTACTTTTCAAAATTTTGAACCAAAATGCATATTAAAGGAAAAGATTACGCTGAAAGACACCTCTTTTTCTTTAAATATAACTTAATTGAAACACTGTTTATTCAAGCTAGATAACTTTAAAAAGCATTACTACTTTCTAGTTATTTTCTTTATCTCTTCTGATTTTAATTTATTTTTTAAACCACATAAATGTAAGGTTTCTTAAAAAAAAAAAAAAGAATTCTAGTAATTATTATCCACTGTGCCAACAACAACGATAAAACACTACTACAAAATATGCTTTCAACGTCGCCATTTAACGTCGGTTCAAGCTGAGCCGACGTTAAATACACTTTCAACGTCGGTTGGTTAAAAAACGACGTTGAAAGCTGAATGTTGGACACATTCTACGTCGGTTCTTAGTTAACCGACGTAGAAAACACTTTCCACGTCGGTTCTAGATGAACCGACGTTGAAAGTCTTTTTTTTATTTTTATTTTTACTTATTGATAGCGGTTCTATGGGAACCGCTATCTAATGTCGACTTTATGATCGATCATTTCAAGTTATGATCGATCAGAACCTTATTTCGCTCGAGCGAGGTTAGTGTCGCTCAAGCGAAATACAACCCGAGAATGCTAATTTTGTGCGGGGCGTTTCGCTCGGCGAGAATGGTGTCGCTCAAGCGAGATACATTTTAGATAGCGGTTATGACCGATCAGAACTATTTTAATCGATTAAATCTCGTTTCAATCGATTAAAACAATTCTACACAGCGTTTTAATCGATTAAAACTTATTTTTATCAGTTAAAATTACTTGAAAAGTTTTACGAGAAAGTTTTGCAGTATTTCAATCGATTGAATCGCGAAACAATCGATTAAATCAACTTAGAATATTTTTTGTAAAGTGTTTTAATTGATATAAACGTTGTCGTACGTATCGGTTAAAACAAATCTGTTTTAATTGATATACATTTTTGTAAAGTGTTTTGATTGGGTGTTTTGGTCACTCAGATTTGAGATTCAAGGTCATTGGGTTGGATTTCAAGCTTGAGGTCAGGTCATGCATGCTTGGGTTAAAGATCTTGGAAGGCTGAATAGAAGGGTGGAGGATTGGGGTTGGAGAGACGAAGGTGATTAAACTCGAACAATGGTGGATAGTCACTGGTACAAGGTCGAAAAGAGGGAGTGAAATTGTGAGCGGGAAGGTGAATTTGGGAGGGTCTGTCGGCATGAAGAACACAAAATTTTGGAGGATTATCGGTGCGAAGAAGATGAAAGTCTCGGGTTTATTTGTATATATTTACACGGATATATATTTATTTGTATATAAATATAATTTATTCATAAGTTATTATCAAAAAATTCAAGTAGTTTAGTGGTTGGAGTATCGACCTCCAACTCTAAAGTACTTGGGTTCGAATCCTGCCAATGACAATTCTCTTAAAAATTAAAAAACTTCTAAAAAATATAATATAAAGAGATGGAGAACCTAATAAAAATATAATAGGAAGAGAGGGGAGACTTCTAGATAAATAAAAGGGGGGTAAAGGGGTTGTAAATAAATAAAAATTATTAATTTAAAAAATCATACTTTCAACGTCGATTCTTAAAAATCGACGTTGAAAGTCGACATTAGATAGCGGTTCCCTTAGAACCGCTATCTAAAGTGTATTTTTCAACGTCGGTTTTTTTGAACCGACGTTGAAAGCCTTCCAGAACCGACGTTGAAAGCTTTATTTGTAGTAGTGAAAGTCAAAAAATAATTATATCTATTTAGAAAAAGAAGTACGTACTTGAAAATGCAATCATGAAAATGAAGCATCATGAGGCTGGCTCCAATCCGGGGGTCGGTGATGGAAGCTTGAAAGATGACTTGAAGCACAGCATTGAAGACATATTTCTATGTAGAAAGTAGGTGTAAGCTGAGCATTAGTGACTGAAAACCCTGCATGCATGGCAAATGCACACAACACAGCCACTACTACTACTATACGCATGGAACCCGTTTTGGCTGTTCTTGAATCCCAAGTTAATATGTTATTAGATCTCACATCGATCCTTTATTTATAGAGATGAATTAGGTTAATATCTTGGATACCACGGCATATTAAATGTTTGTATTAACTTAATTTTAAAATAAAATATTTCTTATAAGGTAAAGTAAATTTCATGTATGTATTCTTATCCAGTTGGCTATGACGCTGGCTTCTTGATTTTTCCAGTGGAATTATTGTACTATGGTAGGGCCAACAAGAGTAGGAATCATTATTTTCTTGAAATGTTGTTTCCATATTCTGCTAAATGTAGTTGGAGCACACTAGCAAGGAATTAACGAAGTTTATATTTCACACAACTACGTGTTGTGATGAAAAGTGAAGTTCAAAACTCGTGTAATAAGTTCAGCGTTTTGAATCCTAATGTAATGCAGCAAAGTTAAGAAAATAGTAGTGTTTTTTAACACAAAATAAAATTTAATGGTTGATTAAGTATTATGAACTGTAAAATTCACAATGGAATAATGAAATTCATCAAAGTAGATACATAATATATGACAAGAGGTACATGCACACTCCTTTGGTTTATTTAAATACAGCAAATATATTTAAAACATTTTGCCTTTAGAGCATATTCCCATCAACTTATTTGGGTTGAGCTTCAAGCATCTCTTTTGGATCTTTGGATGCCACACCAGCTAATCCAGAAGAGTCTTCATTCACATAATTACATTGCAACCGAATTTCTCCTTCATCCCCTGTCAGCACTGAAATATTTCCCATTTTGATCATTGACACTACAAAGTTGGCAAAGAAAACACTTTGGTCACTGCTGAAGCTATTCACAAGGTCGATGGTATCAGCATCAGAAGTGGAGAACAGTTCTTGGTCGCTCTGAAGTAGGCCATTGAGGTATTGAAGATTGGAGTAGTATTTGTTATCGAATTGATTAGGTGTGGTGAGATCCAAATCGGTGAGGCTATCATCAGTGGCATCCAGGGCACATATCTCACTCAATGTTGCTAAGTAAGTTGTGTTCAGAGTTGGATCAGAACTTCCAGTGTCGTTGAAACTGTATAATCTGTCTATAAATGTGCTGCAGCGAGCTTGTCCAAACGTATGTGCACCTGTACATGATATTTTTTAGATTAGGGAGAATTTTCTAAAAATATATTACACATAACTTGTTTTGTCATTAATTTTCTTGAAGTGTAATAGTATCAAGAACTTGTTGCTAGTTATTAGCAAAGGTTCGTATTGGACTAGTTATATGCCAAAAATCAAATATAGAAATGAAGAGTATTTTTGAAATTAAACTAAGTTTAACTTCAAATTCTGTGAACAAACATGAATTTTATTAATACCTGAGAGTGCAACTAAATCAGTGGTGTTGAGCCCTTGAGCAGTAAAGGATTCTTTAAGTTCATCCAGTGTGGAGGAAGATGGTGGAAGGTTTAGATTAGCAAGGGTTTTGTTTGCTGTTAGGCTATCCCTTCTTCCTAATAGAACTGACCATGATGGACCTCCTCCCTGTCAAATACATGAATTGAACCACATCAAGTGGAAATCTTTAAAGGGCACAATAAATTGTTTTGGATACAAAGTCTACAAATTTTATGTTTGAATTAAGACCATAAATTCTTAGCATTGTAGTACATTTTTCTGCAAGATATTTAAACATATGTAACATTATAAGTTGAATAAAACTAAGATAAACAATTGATTTCAATATTTTAGAGCATTTGGAAAGAGTGTGAAATGGTTGGTAGTTAAAACTTACAAGAACAGAACCTATTTCAGCTGCAATGGCAAGAATGTCAGCACAAGAAACTGTCTCTGGACAAACAAGTTCCACCGCTGTCTTGATGTTATTGACTACGTCCAACCCTCGTGTTGAGTTGATATTCGGAGCTGCATCTTGTTCGCTTTCTATTGTGTCAGTGTTGTTCAGCAAAATTGATGCATCACAACCCTGTCACAAGAAACAATCGTTCGGTGATGATTCCTAAAATTATTGATCTCCTTCAAGGTGAGAATATAATTTTTTTTTCTAAATTTTCTTATCGAATACATTTAATTATTTTTTAATATTTATGAAAAAATATGGTTAAAATTATATATATAATATTTTATGTAAGTTAAAGATAAATTTAATAGATCATTAAATTTAAATATCTAAAAAAATTTGAAGGGCTTATTCTTATAAAAGAAACAAAGAAAAAGCATGGCCTTATCACCCATGAAGATTAACCCGTGGTTCACACACTCACTCACACACTCACTCTCTCTCTCTCTCTCTCTCTCTCTCTCTCTCTATATATATATATATATATATATATATATATATATATCCCAATTATGTATCAACTAGAGTTTTTAATGACGATATTTTAATATAGTCCAATATTTTAACTTCCAAATAATTAGTTAACTATAGATTATATCATAATAATTAAGATTACAAGTCTTTCTCCACCATATACAAACATATCTATCTATACCCTACGGAGAGACACATATATTTAGAGAAAATGGTAAATATCAAACGTTTAATAGATTTAATGATGTTAAAAAGTAAAAGAGGATGAGATAGATAGTAAATTCAAGTCTCTTTTTTAATAAAATTTAATACATTAATAATTAATACTTTTCATTAAAAAAATGTTTAATGTTATAAATTATACTACGCATCAGCTTTATAAAATTCTGATTTCTCATCTCATTTAATGGAGGTTCAAGAGGAGGAAGTTAAAAGTGTTTGGCAACCACAATTGAAAATCCCAGGATTTCTGTTTCTTTTATGTCATGAGATCAGGGTAAGGATGTGTGGAATTTAGGTATAACAAATCAGTTTATAAGATGTAATTTACATATTTTACTTTAAATAAATATATATATATATATATATATATATATATATATATATATATATATATATATATGCAACATATATTCTATTCTACCTTGTCTTATTATTGTACAAATTCACCTTCTACTACTACTCTGACACAGATTACTTTCTAGTTCAACATAGGAAACGTGTCAGGACGGAAAAAATAAATCACTTTCTACGGCATAGGCTCAATAGATTGAGGAATGCCTATGTCAGGAAAAAAAAAATCACTTCCTAAAAGCATGTAATGACTATTTCCAGGATATTTGCTTATCACTTTTTTCGGTAAACCACGGCATGGCTTGGTCACACCTTGTTTGTGTGGCTAATAAGTTTTGTGTTCATAGTCATTCAGTAATTGGCTCTTTAAAAAAACTTTTTAAAGATGAAATCATGTTTCTTTTTTTAAGAAAAAGTTAACATTGCTAGGCCAAGATTACATATATAACTATCCATTTTCACTTTTGTCTAACATAGTAGGCAAAGATTAAAATTTTCTTACATGGTAGGGTTAAGTGTGGTAAGAAAGATGAGCATTTAGGAAGAAGGAATACGTACTTGAACAAAGCAATCGTGAAAATGAAGCCTGATGAGGCTGGCACCAATGCGTGAATCGGTGAGGGAAGCGTCATAGATGATTCCATACACGATATAATACAGCCGAGGACATGTTTGGCTGTAGTAAGTAGCACTCAGCTCTGCATATGACACTGAAAACCCTCCATGCATCACTAATATTGCACATAACACTGCTACTGCAACTGCACGCATAGAACCCATCTTCACTGTTCTTCAATTCTTACTTAATTTCTGCTCAGATCTCACTTCCATCCTCTATTTATAAGATGAATTTGGTGGATTTCTTGTATATCACCACATGCGAAATTTCTGTATCACTCATTTTCAAAACATAATTTCTCATAAAGTAGATTGACAACATTAACATGACGTGAGTTTGTATCTTTTTTATGATGTGATGTGTACCACATTGTCGAATTATCAGATATTAAAATTATGTTAGTTTTAATTAAATCATAATTAGAGATATTAAAAATTATAAGTACAATATATACCCTTTTTTTTTATTCATTTATTATACTACTTCATTTATATTTATCTCTTAAATTTTTGTTAGTGTTTGTTGCCCCTTAAGAGACTGTTTAGTTTTATTTCTGCTATAATTAAGATGAATATTTAAGGATATTGTTTATTTTGAAATTGTCGTTAATCATTGTTTTAAGGGAATTGTTTATTTTGAAATTGCCGTTAATCACTGTTTTAACTTTAAAAGACATTTTAATGGATTAAAAAAATAATATATATAAATTATCCATAATCTCAATTCTTAAATAATAAGTAACGTGACACTTATGAAAATAATGAAATAGTTATAAAATTATTTAACTTTAATTAAAACCGTTTGATAATAATATTGGATTACTATTTATCATTTTATACTTTTGTTTTTTAGAAAATTGGAAGCTTGAGAACATAAAAAGGAAGAATATATTTTGAGACTTTGTGATTACAACATTCACGCACTTTGAGATTAACGTTCAAATACAGAAAATTGACAAAATAATTAATAATTTTTTTATTGTGGGAGAACAGAGAGAAGTTGAGGATTTTTTTGTGAACTTGAAAGTATTCTAGAGGACTTTAAATTTCAAATTTTCTTACCATTGTTTATGGTCTAATGTTGTGCAGTAACAAATATTTTATTTTATCATGTTGAAAGTAATGAATATCAATTATTTATAATTAATTTATTTCAATATATGTGTCATTTTACTTTATTTGTATGTTTTATCTTGATGCTTATATTGTATGATTTGATTATAATATGCATTTGATTGTATCTTTACATTCAAAAATAATTTAAGGACTTTGATCTTAATATCATTAAACATGATATGTTATATTTTGATACTTTTAAGAATTAGTACTCTTGAATAAAGAATACTGGAATTGGTACTTTCACGTCATTGTTTATCACTTTACGTCTCACAAATTAGAATTAAATTTATAGCGTAAATGTTGAAATAGTATAAAAGATTTATGGAATAAAAAACTATATCACAATTTCAACATATTTTATTTATTAGTTACAAAATTTGAAAAAATTATTTACCTTGCTTAATCTGATATTTAAATTAAATTTAAAACATACGACATTTTTAAATTATTAATCTTAACTAATGTAAATATAGGCTACATAAACTTAAATTTTTCGGGAAAATATACTAATTTTTCAATTCAGTACTTATATCATTTAATACACTTGTCAAAAAATAAATAAAACTTGAATAAAAAATTTAAAATTAGTTAAAAATAAAAATCAAATTTTTATTTTATATTTTTAATCAAATGATTTTATTTAAATTTCATATTAAATTAGACCCAATCAAATAGTTTACTATATTTTAAATATAATATTATGTAATTTATTTATGAATATAAGATAAATTTTAAATTATAAATGTAACAATAATTATACAAAATAAATTCTTAATATATTTTTTATTTAATAATTTTTATTATAAAATGATGTAAATTTTTAGGTTTTTTTTTGTGTCAATATATATTTTTTATATAATATGATAGATTTTATCTCGTATATGTGTCTATCTCAATTTTTTTTTTAATAAAATATCACCTATTAACAATATCTTAATATGTCAAAATAATAATATAATATATATTTTTTCAAAAGAATAATAAAAATATCTCAATATTTAATTTAAATAAAAAATAAAAAAATAATATTCTCAATATTTCTCTTTATTTTTTTAATTTAATATTTTTTCTATTATTATTATTATTATTATTATTATTATTATTATTATTATTATTATTATTATTATTATTATTTTCTCCCATTTTGCTTATAAATCTTCTTATTCTATGTCTCATGATCTTATCTTCATTTAAATTCATTATCATATTTTCTTTATGCAATGTTTTTTCTCATTGTCATAAGACATCTTTTCCGCATGATAGTCCTCCATTTAGCCTATGTCATGTTATAAATTTTCTTAAATTTTACGTGTAGGTTTCTTGTCTTGAATTCATTTCATTGATGTATCATTCATAAAAAAATTGTAACAAAGAAAATATCGTTTCTTCTTTGAGCATTAATTTTAACTTTTGTCTTTCTTTATTTTATTGTTTTAAAATATAGGTAAATTCTAATAGGTTTAAATTCATTTTAGTTATATAATTTTTTCAATTTAACCTTAAGTTTCTTTTGTTCATAATCTTGATTTTTGAATTCTTTATTCTTTTATTTGAGATTTAACTTTCAAATCGATATCTTGTTTTCAATCATTATGTTAATCTAGTTGGTTGTTAAATTTTTTTCTTCAAAACTCTTATGTCCTTATTTATGAATATTTTATATATTTCTTTTAAATAATCTCAATTTTTTTTTAAGATTTAGGATTATAATTTTAATCAAAATTATTTGTAAAATACTTCTATATAAATATCATTTGACTTTTGTCTTTTTTATTTTTTTCTTTCTTTTTACATCTTGATTTGAATCATGATGAAATTTTCAAACAATAAATCAATAAAGTAATTATTTTTCACACCTTCCCATAAATCTAATCATGTTACATTCTTAATGTATTAATTAATAATCTTTTTAAAAATATATAAGAAAAACATAGAAAAAATTCACTCAAACGAAATCATAAAACATTCATTTAATTTAACTTAAATTTTATATGAAAATAAACCAAATTACATTATTTTTATGTTTGATTTAATTAATTATTCAATTAAAAAAATAAACCAAAGAAAATAACGAACACATATATATTATTTGTATCTTTATTCATATCTATCTATATATAATTAAATATATTTTTTATAAACTCCATATGAATTAAACATTCTCTTAAATTCAAAAGTTTGAATATATTAAGTATATATTAGTCTAAATTATGATATTGAATCGCCTATTAATTTATCAATTAGAAAAACTACTTTTTTTTCATGAATGGATTTGTTGAATTATTGTAGGACCAGCAAGATTATAGGAACGATTATCATTTTGTAATGTTATTTCTAAAGTATGTCCTGAATTGGATAGGGTGGGAGCACACTAGCAATAAATTTTAAAAAATATCAATATTTTACACAATTGCTGTGATGAAAACCTGAAGATCCAAACTCATACTGAGATAAGGAACTTTAATCCCAACTAATATCTGCTTTAAAATTTAGAGCGCATAACTCAACAAAATGAAGAAATTCTTGTGTTTTAGCGCAAAAGCAAAACTTGTTCATGTTTTAAATTAGATGAATGTACTTAGTAGCCTGTGTATTAGGGTAAAAGTTTTATATTATTCAAAAGGTTTTGTTAGATAATATAATAGTGATTTTAAGTTTCATATTAAATAAGAATAAGAAAATTGATCAATTTATAATAAAATATAACCTATAACCTAATATTTTACCAGAATAATATCAATATCTTATACGACTTAGATTCGTAATATGTTTTAGATTCGTAATATGTTTTATTAATATTTTTTTCAATAAATCTTGATCGAAAAGATTCAATAGATTTGTTCTTCAAAATAATTATTATATAACTCAAAATTTTACCATAATAAACAATTTGTGCTAAGATGAAATTATATAAAAAAAAATTATACGTTTATGTTTAACCAATAAAGACTATTACTAATTTTGTGTAAAAAATACCTATTAAATTGATTTAACAATGAATCGTAGTGAAAGTGGTAGATAAAAGAGGAATAGAAGAGAGGTAGGTGGATGCATGTAGAACGAACCCATTCATCCAAAAATCAATGATGCATATGAGTGACAGTGATAGCAACCTGAATAATGGTACAAGTTACATCATCATGGAAACAATCATGACAATTACAAAAAACAATAATAATAATAATAATAACAATTATAATACTGTGGAAACAATTATTAGAGTGACGTAATGATAGTAAAAAAAAAATAACAGTGATCCCAGTATGGAAATAACTAGTATCATCACCCTTTAACCATTATCTATTTTTTTTTATTAATAATAAATAATACTTTAATGTTATAATAAATATTAATAAAAAAAAATTGATCTCAAACAAAAAAAATTATACTGAGAAAGATTGTATAAAATAAAAAACCTTACAATAGATGGAATGTAAACCCGGATAAAAATACCAAAATTCAAAATCATCTGTTTGATTTCTATAACACTAAATAATTATTACAGTGCATAATATATTTGTATAATCTATAATAATAACAAAGTAAAATAAATTAGTATAATAATCTATAAAATTAATATATGATATGAAAAAAATAAATATATTAAGGAAGATTGTAAATTTATACAACACACTATCACTTAAACAATGAATGAAGAAAAAAAAACAATAACAAATTATGATACGTAAAATAGTTATATAATCATCAATAAAAAAAGTTATGATGGTGTTCTGTATATCACATATAATTTATCAATTATATAATTTCATCAACATAATTTGTAAATCTTAATCAAAATCATATTATATATATATATATATATATATATATATATATATATATATATATATATATATATATATATATATATATATATATATACTAAACATCAAATAAACCCAATTGTATTTATCTGGAGGACACATCCTATTAAATTTCTTAATCTTTATCCTTAAATTGAGATTAAAAACTTTACCTCATATGCACCATCTAAATCATCATTTTACTCGATTTCTAATAGATTTATTCTTCAATATGATTTTAGTGTAAATCTTTTTATTCCTAATCAAATCACTTTCCTGAAAAGTGAGATTTTTCGGAATATAATTCTTAAGAAAGTTTGCCCAGTATTATTCAACCTTTTTATGTATGATTCCTTTATGTCAGTTTTTATATAAAAACTGGTAATTTTCTGTTTTCTAATCATGGGAGTATATTATTCCCACCTAGTGAGAATACTTTATCATTTTTTTATTTACAAATTAATATTTCCATAAAATATTTTAAGAAATATTTATTTTTTATTAAATATGTTTTTTTAATACTAAATATATGTCAAATATTAGTATAAGATAATGACAGTAAAAATATTATTATTATTATAAACAGGGCGTTCAAATGTTTATTACCATTTTATAAAAATAGTATTTTTATTTATAGTTTAAGATTATTTTTAAAAATAAAAATAAAAAAGAATAACTAATTGAAAATGTTCTATGGAGAAAAAATAGTAATTTTTATTAATTTATTTATTATATATATTAAAAAAATTATATATATATATATATATATATATAAAAGATAAAAGATTAAATAAATAAATAAAATATTAAATTACATAAAAAAATAATAATAAAAAAATCTCTTTATATATATTAATACAGATTATTATTATTATTACGGTAGATAACTTAATTGACACGCATTTATAAAAGTAAGTATAAAAGTAATTTTTTATCATTCATTAACACCAACGGCACAGATGCTACCGTGAGGATGTGTTTGAAAAATGAAGATGGAGTAAATGGAAACACATTTGATTATCAAATCCAATTAATCTAACCATCTAACCTTTCATGCTTTCCTTTTTTTATTCAAAAAGAAATTGCTGATTTTTTTAGTTCTAATAATTAGAAAACACAATCATATCCATTTGCTTCATATGCTTTATATCCGACAAATTTTGCAGTAAAATTTTCTTTTAAAATTATATAATAATAATTAAAATTTTAAATAGATCAATTTAGTTAAATTTAATAATAATAATTTCGGTATATTTATGAATTTCGTATCACTCGAAAATGGATATTAAAGATATATCATCTTCTTTAAAACAAATTATATCATTTTTTTAATTTATATAATAATTTATAAAATATAAAATTATATTAGATTAAAAATTAAAAAAAAATATTTTGTACATGACAATAAATAACTATTGTGAAGACAAAATACTTTTATTCTTATACAAAAGAATAACTGCAAAAATGAAGTTGTGTTTTTTATATATATTTTTGTGTCTTTTATTATTCTTGAAGAAAAATGTAAATAACAAGAGCTTTTGACTTTGAAAATGAACAGGTGATGAATGTGAACCTAAAAGCTAGGGTACTGTTTATGAATTCTGAAAAAAAAAAAAAAAAAACTACTGTTTAATGGGAGAGATAAAGATGGATTGAAAGAAAGAGAATGATTTGAGAGTGTTGGTGGAAGGTTTTGGTGATTAAGGGGTTGAAAACAAGACAAAATTAGGGTTACAATCATTGTTTCAATGCTTTTGAGTGAAGATGTATCTTCTAAAATTGTTGTATTTGGATAAAAGATGATTCTTATATACCTCAAGTTAAAACAAATTTGATTACATATTTCATCAATTTATGGTTTTAATTATTATTTAATTATTTAAATTAGGTTGATTTTAATATAATAGTTAATCCAAAATTGTACTAATTTGAGAAAACTATTTTGAATCAATCTCATTTTAAATACAAGAGATAAGATATAATATTAATTTCATTATCCAATTTATATACATAGTACATTTTAATGTAAAATATGTTTGATGCAATAAAACAACTCACTTAGCAAATGGATTGAGTTAGGTTGTTAACTCCACAAATGAAATTACCCATTCAACACTTCAACTCACTTTAACTTGATAACTCCACAAATCTACTGAAAGATGGAGTTGGATTGAGATTAGATTGACTTGCTAAGTTGGATTTTATTTTTTTTGTCATGCTTTATTTGGTTAAATATTGTTTTGTTGAAAATGATATTTTGTGAACTATTATAAATTTTGTGTTGTTGTCTTATTTATTTAAATCATGTTGACACTTTTAGAGAAGACTTGTGTCGAGACAATTTAGAAGGATAATATTCTTACGATTGTATTATTTAATGGGATGATTTATAGTTTTTGATTTATGTTTCTAAATAACATTTTTATTTTCATTGTTTTTAAAATTGTGGCGAATCAACTAAAAAATCCACAATTCATTGGGTTGGTTTTGGTTGAGATTTTCAACCCAACCTTAAAATGGATACAACTCAATTTACTTTTTGTGGTTGGGAATAAAATAATTGATCTGTTGCGTGATGGAATTAAATTCAATTGATTCCAATTTTTAGTTAAAAGTCAAAACAACAAATAATTGTTTCACTTTTTCAATTTTGTATTTAATTTTACGAAATATAACCAATTTTGATAGTTATCCAAGCAAGTGTAGGGTTAACCTATTCTGACATTTATATTTACAGTGGAATGAATGTTTGTACTCATTTTAAATAAATTTTTTGTTTATCCCCAAAAACACATCATTATCTAATTTTCTTATTTGTCTCATAAGTAGGGATTACATAGGTTTGAGGTAACCAGTGATCCTAATCAACCTAAATTGACTCCATAAAAAAAACAATTTGGTTTGGTTCACCAATTGTTTCTAATTTTATTTATTCAAACTATATGGCTTGGATTTGGTTTTCATGTTGGGGAATCTTTTTCAATTTATACAATTCTGTTTTTACATTATTAAACTTGACAATTTGATTCAAACTAGCTCAAAGGGTTGATTAAAATCGAGCTCTAAACAATATTTTGTAGGAACCTAACCAAACTAACTCAAATAAATATATTTAATTAGTTTGAACAGAAAAAAAATCTCCGAAAGTCGTCTCCAATATAATTGCTTATAATGTCTATTAAATTTAAACAACATCGCTTAAATGAGCAAATGCTTTATATAAGCATCATTCCTTATATAACCTATGTTTAAGGGAAGCTCTGAATGAAATAAATTATTGAAGATAATATTATTTACAAATTAGGTAAAGCATTTAGGTTAACCACTTTAGCATTTGAGTACGTAAAAATATTTAAATTTAGGATTATATATATATATATATTTGGTCGGTGAAACTAAACTAAAACTCAGAGACCAATAATCATTCACCATATTTAACAGCAACTCTTAGTTAATAATTTTCCCTTTTTCTTCACCCAAAATTCCTCTGTATGATTTCAGAGAAATTTCCACTGAACACTGTTCGAATATTTAAATCCCCAAAATAAAAATCGTACAGATTGAAGACGTAAATAAATTGCAACTGCTGTTATCCACACAATTGAATTTTAACCAGCGACTCAGTGCCATAAACGAAGTGCTTCGTAACTTATATGATATAAACCAGCCCACCTTTTTCATTGAGAACTCAAATGATACGATCCCTTTACAAATACATTCACCGAGCGTACTAAATTAGCATCTTGATCCTGATACATTTAACATTAAATATTCAATGAACCATATGTAAAAATTATATGATCAGTGAACAGAATTTTGAATATTTTCTGAAACAACCCAGTCTCCAGGGAGGGTGGAAAAAGAACTCATACAAAGCAATCTATCAAACATATAGCATTGGAAACTGGCATCCTGGTTAGTGGATCATCAATATGTAGTGCTTGGTGAAAGCATAAGCTATAGCTAATGATTATAATTTGCGTTGACATCTTCTGGGCCTCGCCTTTTCTTTTTCCCCTCGCCATGTCTTGACCTCCTCGGTGCTTCATCCTCACTTTCACTGTCATCATTCCGGAAGTTGTTCACAGCAGGATGCTCATCCTGGTTCGCTTTGTATCCTTGCTGATACTGCATGTCATCATCTGGTGCACCACTTTGACTGAGCATGTCTTGACTCTTGCCCTGCTCTGGTCCTGAACCATATCTATCATTTCTATCAGTAGTTCTTTGATCTCTTTTGGCAACACGGTTTGTGTTCTGAGGTAGGGGTGGAGGTGGTGGAAACATTGGAGGCATATTAACTGGCCTACCCCCTCTTGGCGGATTTGCACCTGCAACCCCCATCCCCCCCATGAAGGGACCACGTCCAGGATTCATCATCATCCCAAAGCCACCACCTGGAAACATCCCAGGTTGAGAGGGTCTCCCACGAAACATCATGGCTGCTGGGGGGCCTCCAAAATCACCAGAGAACCTGGGACCGTATGGAGCAAAAGCACGGGGTCCCACACCAAAAAGATCTGGCATACCAAAACCATCAGGTGCCACAGGCCCATAGGATAACCCATCACCCATCATTACAGGGTTAAAGCCCTGCATTCCTGGCATGGGTCGGGCTCCACGCCCAAGAGGCATATGAGGCGGCCACATCATACCTCTGCCCCTACCCCTGCCTTGACCTGCTGGCCCTACAGCATGACCAAAACTCTCCTCCTCTTCATCACTTTCTTCCTCTTCCTCTTCTTCATTGTCTTCAAATGGAACAATATCTGGATTTTCTCCTCCATTATCTGGATTCACTCCCTTTGCTTTCTCTTCTTCCCGTTTAGACTCGGCTGCAACTGAAACGGCCTGTACATACAATGCAACTGGGATTAATCCAATTCTTAAAACACCTTAGTTCAATACTGCAGCTTTATGTTTTGCACATCCATCCACTAAAGTAGCTAAAATATTGATTGATAAGTAATCTTAGTAAATAATAAATTACGCAAAACCCGAGCAGTTGATTTTAACAAGTTTGAACGTGGCTGATTACACAATAAAACATTGAACATAAGATACTTGAAGATGGTTTCACTAATCTTATGAAATGCTCAGCAGATGGTATTAATATAATCTTGCAAAAAATATGCACAACGAGGACAAGGAATTCAAAGAATTTCAAATTCTTTATGTTTTAATTAAGTTTGAAGCAGATCCCTGCGGATCATGGAACCTAAAATGATTAATGAAGTCCTAATATAGCCTTCGGCCAGTGAAAATCTGTTTTGAGAAATATTTTTACTATATACACCCAGTCGATTCTTTCAAATTATATGAACTCGTTACCAAATTTCGTAAAACTATGAAAACCTAAAAAATAATTTAACCTTATAATTATTCAGTCTAATTGGAAAACTTTAGATTTTACATTATCTTTTCCCTTTACCTAATTTCTATATAATCCCTAAAATCTCAACCCCGACAATTATAAGAGAGAATATTTGATCCACAAACACTTCTAAGAAAGAAAGCTTCCCAGTTATGCTACAAAACGTTGCCATGACAAGGATAGTATTTCGACTTAGTGTTGACCAATATCTGAGAGATTAGCTTACGATAAGGGAGGTTCAGAACAACTAGCATAAAAAATTAGGCCCGAAGTCATGTTTTTCTATATTCCTTATCAAAGGTCCTCCACCATAGATTTCTGAATAACAAGGATACACACTCAAACTAAGTAAAGATACCTAAGAGCACTCATGATTATGTTCTTACCCCCACCCCCTCTTTCTCACACACACACACTGTGAAAGGTTGACAGCTTAGACAACAGAGACTATCAAAACATCTTCGAAGTTTTAATCATGCTTCATGAGTTTGCTAGAGAGCATTAAGTGATGATGTGATCATGTATCATTTCCGAGACTTTTAAGTACATGAGATTGTTGACACCAACCCATAGTCACGTCCAAAAATTTCTTAATAGCAAGAATGTTCCATTTTTTATCAGGTAAAACAAATATCATACCAATCCAAAGTCACTTAGTTTCTCACTATAACATACAGACCATTTTGCTTTTCTCCCATTCGTACATCATGATTATAACCTATTGGTTTCTATTCACACAAAAAATAAAAAGATGATGACTCAGAGGAGAACATACCATAAGTTCACCATCAGGTTCAAGATAAAGCAACGACGCCAGTTGCTCTCCAATAGAGGGCTCCAGCTCCTGACAATCTCTACTTATCTGTAATTGCATACAAAGGCAGAATATTTAATACTTGTCATGAACAAACTCCCTCACAAGGTTAATATGTTAAGTGAAAGCTCATAAAGTGAATTGGAGGTATAATTTGGTGAATAAACATAACAAAGAACAAGAAAACCAACCGATACATATATAGTGCTGATATATGTGGGCACACCAGATTCAATGATTTAAAAAATATCCCACTTTCACAGTACAGAACAAGAAACATCTACAGACGAATAAAACTTCGAAGAGCTTTGAGAAGCCATAATTTTCAGGACATGTTAAAAATGGTTTGTTCTTGGTTTTGTTACATATCAATACCACTTTCTGTAGTACGGCTCCACAAAAATTTAGCCTAAAGAATAATAGCTAATTTTAGTTTCCACAATCAGCATGCATCCAGCGAGTAGCAAGAAATACACAGCGTCTCATCATTAGGAAGCTGGTTGATGTAGCTATAGACAGCTGTAGCCATGAAGATCAACCTTCATTTGTTAAATGTCAAGCAGTTAAAATAATATCATAAAAAATGGTCAAAGTGACATTAGACTGCACCTATTATATATATTATGCTTGGTAAGCCGGATTCCCTAATAAGTGGTGATGCAGAATGGCTACTAAAAAAAAATCCAAGGTAGCAAAAAATCAAAAGTTAAACAAGCAAATGTAAAATTCAAAGTATAGGGTACGAGAGTGGTGGACCAACTAACACTTTCACAAGGATCATATCGACAGACAGATGGGGCTGTTTCAAGCACAATTCTTTTCTATATGAGAACCACTCATAAGGTTTGATAGCAAGTGAAGAGTAAAGCAAGAAAACAACTGTCATCAAGCTTTAAACTAAATCACAGAAATGGGAAAGATAATACCTTCACTGGTAAGTTCTCATTGTATGGATTCCTTAAATGGCGAGTTTTGTGGAATGAAAGTTCACATAACTGCAATAAGAAATGCAATTAGACAGATTTAATGTACAGAAAATTACCATATATCATTATGTAATTTCCAATAATGGTTCATGCACAAATTTCTCCCCGTAGCTGAAGCCCAGACACAACCAATAACAAAAGGCAACTCTAGTAAACAATGAAAAATAAAACTATATGTTGGTTAGTTAGACAGCTCACAGCTACTCAAGTCTTAGAAGTTATTGGAAAATTGTTTCATTTTTACCCCATGTCTTTTACAACCCAAGAAAAATAAACACAAAAACTGAATTCCTTAAAAATAGCAAAACCAAACTTCTCAACTGTGCAACCGAGCAATCCTAAAATCTCAATCTAAATATCTAATGGAAGATAACTATTGACGCTTAGTAGTAACGAGAGACAACAAAGGTAATGTATGTTCAATTTGTAGTTCAAGAAAGAATTCTTATTGTATGCTAGATGTCATAGAGGTTTGAACGTTTGGAAGATGAATGGAAGAGGAGAAATTTGAAAGCTCTTACAATAATTAAATTGCAGAATCTGGTTAGAATACAAAAATAATGGGTGCAAGATGTCAAATAACTGAAGCAGATTCTCTTCTTCAAGGTTGTGATAGCCGTGAGCATCTTTAGAAACTAATGTAACCTTTACTCATGACCTCGAGGGAGAAATCTATATGGAGTAACTACATAGGTTTCTCCCTCGGGAAAGTCAAGTCTTGTATGAAAATAGCAGAAATTTGTATATAGCTTGAAACAATCACCTAGATATTATTGGGTCTTTTTGAAGGGGGATTCATAGGGGAGAAACACCAATGAGACGAGAGCCCTACTCACATAAGGATTAACACCACTCTCAACCCCAAACCTTAAGGCATTGGGTTATGGGTCATACTTCCTTATATGTTGCTCAATTTTCTCATTCTTACACAATGTGGAACTTAGAATCACACTTGGATTCCCAACAATCTCCCCCTCAAATGTGAATTCCTCCATATTGGTACATTCTCTCGAGCTCACTAGTGGCCCTTTCATGTACCGCCATTTACCCTACTAGGACACACTTACCTGACCCACTCTGTTAGGAAGGTCAATACAAAAATCACTCTATCCCACTGTCGATCAACCTTCGGCTCTGATATCACTTGTTGGGTCTTTCGAAGGGGATTTACTGGGAAGAATAACACCAATAAGACATGAGTCAAACCCACATAAGGGATTGACACCACTCTCAAACCAAAACCTTAAGGCATTGGGTTATGAGTCTTTCTTCCCTATATGTTGCTCAACTTTCACATTCTTATCCAACGTGGGACTTAAAATCACACTTGAATTCCCAACAGATATTTGGTTGGTTTAGCAGTCATCCAGCAGTTTGAAATGATCCATTGCAAGGGAGATGATTTTGTTTTCCCCATATTCTATTCTCCTCATCAAATAATATACTATCTTGGTGCTTATAAATGACCTTGATTTTATATGTCATGATCAAGACTGCTTTCAAGGTTCTAAAACTACTATACTTATTTCAGCATTTTCAAACTAAGGATGTTGATCACTTACAATACCTATTTGGGATTGAGAGGTATCTCAATCAAAAGCAAGTATTGCTATCTCAAAGTATGCACTACATTCAGGAAAAAACAGGGGTTCTAGATTGCGAGCCAATTGACACCCTTAAGGATCCAAATGTAAAGTTTCTCCTTAACCAATGAATCCTATCTTGAGTTAGGATATTACTGATAGTTAGGGGGAAATTTAAATATCTCAGCCTGACCAAAATTGAAATATCTTTCCTCACAATGTTGTCAGTCAAGTCTTCAACTCTACTTGTAATAGTCATTGGCTGAATCATTAGGTATGAACATCAAAAGATTGCCTACAAAGGGGACTTGTTTACATAGAAAGAGGTCATATTGACATCATATACTCAAATTGAAAAATGAGCAAGACGTGTAAGTAATAGACAAACCACTAAGTTATTGTGGTTTTATGGGCAGCTATCTGACCTCTGAGCAGAATAAAATGCAAAATGATTTCAGAGCTAACTCAACTAAAAAAGCTAAATATTGAGTTATGGCTAACACCACAATGAGTAATGGATGAAATATTTACTTAGGGAATTATAATTCTGTGATGTCAACTCATGGCGCTGGTGTTTGATAGTAGGGCAACCTTGTATCTTCAGCATTCAATTTTTTTATAAGACTAAGTATATAGAAGTTTATAGTCATTTCTTCATAGAAAGATCTTGGCTTAGAAAGGACTTAAAATCAAGAGCCAAGATAAGAAGTGTTATAGAAAATTTTGGAAAAAGAAATGTGTTACCATTACTTATATTTAGGCAATTATGTGTGATGGTCCAACTATTAGTTTGACAACTCTAGGAGGTGAGACTATGGATGTTCCTTTTAGGATAGAATACGAGTACATAGTCAAAAGTAATCAATATCGGATAACTGAATCGGCAACCAAAAAATCTTTTAAAAAAATATATGAGATTTCATATCGGGTTATGGAGGAAGTATTGCGGAAAAAAATATAATACATAATATATAAATATTGTTGAATATAGAAAAAATAGAGTTCGGGATTAATCTCCCATGTATATAAATCACACATAGGGTAATCTATTTATAGTAGAGAGATACAACTAAAAGAGTAACTGAAAGTAACAGAATAAACAAAAGATATTGTTTGATATTGTGGTTAACAATATCTTAACAATATCAAATAATATCTAAACAATATCTAACACTCCCCCTCAAGCTGGAGCATACAAATCGTATGTGTCAAGCTTGTTACAAATATAATCAATTCTAGGACCCCGTAAAGATTTAGTAAAAATATCTACTAACTGATCACTTGAGTTAACAAACTCAGTCTTGATGTCTCCAAACATAATATTTTCTCAAATGAAATGACAGTCAATCTCAATGTGTTTGGTTCTCTCATGAAAAGCAGGATTAGAACTAATATGAAGAGCATCCTGATTCTCACACACAAGTGACATTTGAGTGACATCTCCAAATTGTAGCTCTCTAAGTAATTGTTTGAGCCAAACAAGTTCACAAGCAGCTGAGGCCATAGCTCTATATTCTGCTTCTGCACTAAATCTTGTCACAACACTTTGTTTCTTACTTTTCCATGAGACCAAGTTATCACCAATAGAGACACAATATCCAGATGTAGATCTTCTATCCGAAGGAGATCCTGCCCAATCAGCATCTGAGTAGCAAACAACTCTTGTATGGTTATTAGAATCATATAACAATCCTTTTCTAGGAGATCCTTTAATATATTTTAAGATACGAATGACTGCATTCCAATGATCTTCACATGGGGAATTAAGAAATTGGCTTACCACACTGATTGCAAAGGAAATGTCAGGACGAGTAACTGTAAGATAATTCAATTTTCCAACCAATCTTCTACACTGCTCAGGATCAGGTATAAGCTCCCCCTGATTTGGTAGAAGTTTAGTATTGGGATCCATGGGCGTATCAACAGACTTTGAATTCATCAACCCAGTTTCCTCCAAAATATCCATGGTATACTTCCTATGAGATATAACAATACCATCATTGGACTGTGCCACCTCAATACCCAAGAAATATCTAAGTTTGCCAAGATCTTTGGTCTGAAAATGGTGACAAAGATGTTTCAACTGAGAGATGTCATGATTGTCACTACCTGTAAGAACGATGTCATCAACATATACTATCAAGTAAACACATCCAGCACTTGAGTGTCGATAAAAGACAGAGTGATCTGCTTCACACTGAGTCATACCAAATTATTGAACAACCTTGCTAAACTTTCCAAACCAGGCCCTAGGAGACTGTTTTAGGCCATATAAGGATTTGCGAAAACGACATACCATCCCAGAAGACTCCCCCTGAGCAACAAACCCAGGAGGTTGCTCCATATAAATTTCTTCTTGCAAATCACCATTGAGGAAAACATTTTTAACATTTAGTTGATAAAGAGGTCATTGTTGAAGAGCGGTCATGGCGATAAATAAACGAACAGAAGTCGTCTTTACCACAGGGGAAAAGGTATCTCCATAATCCAACCCAAAAATTTGAGTATAACATTTGGCTACAAGACGAGCTTTGAGGCGATCAATAGTACCATCAGGTCCAACTTTGATAGCAAACACCCACCTGCAACCAACAACAGATTTTCCAGACGGTAACGAGACCAATTCCCAAGTTCCACTATTATGAAGAGCACTTAGTTCATCTAACATGGCCTGACACCAACCAGGATGGGCTAAAGCTTCACTAACAGTTTTTGAAATTGTCACAGAAAAAAGAGAGGAAAGACATGTATAAAAAGGTAATGACAGTCGATGATAACTCAAACCAATATAATGGGGAGAGGGATTACGTGTCGAACGGATACCTTTTCGGAGGGCAATGGGAAGGTCAGACTCAGGTGTCACATCCGGAGGAGACAGAGTAGTTGGCACTTGAGTAGAGTCACATGGTGGTGGTTGTGATTGGTTTCGACAACTATAAACCTGAAGAGGCAGTGAAGAAGAAGCTGACTGCGGAGTAGAAACTAATGGTGAAGACACAGTTAGAGGGTCACAAACAACAGGAACATTAAATGTACTAGGAGTGTTGACAAGATTGGATGGAGAAAGAGGTGAAGATTGACTTTTAAAATAAAAAGAGAACTCATCAAAGATGACATCTGCAGACACAAAATAACGGTTAAGAGAAGGAGAAAAACATTTGTATCCTTTTTGTGATCTTGTAAACCCTAAGAAAACACATTTATGTGATCTAGGAGAAAGCTTGTCAAGACTAGAACTGAAATTATGAACAAAACATGTAGACCTGAAAACTTTTAGAGGTAAGGGATGAAGTGGTTCATGAGGGAATAAAATGGAATAAGGTATTTTATTATATAAAACCGAAGATGGCATGCGATTAACAAGATAACATGCAGTAAGAAGAGCATCACCCCAAAAATGCTGAGGAACCTCTCCATGAATTAAAAGAGTGCGAGTTGTTTCAATAAGATGTCTATTTTTACGTTCAACTACACCATTTTGTTGAGGTGTATAAGCACAAAAAGATTGATGTAAAATACTATGAAAAGTCATGAATTGTTTAAAAGAATGAGAAAGATATTCACGACCATTATCACTGCGCAAAACTTTAATAAAAACACCGAACTGAGATTGAATTTCATTGAAAAAAGTTTGAAAGATATGAAATAATTCAGAACGATTTTTCA